TCAGATCCTTGCTATTATTTTCACAAAGATCATATCAGCATAGCGGCGATAAATTTTTGTCAAGAACATGGATGGGTCAGTAATACTATATAAAAAACAAATAGTTTTTACTTTCAATCTCAAATTGTCTTTGCTGTAAATATAAGCATGAACACGTAAGAACATTAACGTATTTTTTTCGAAAGTAGGAAGGATTTGTTTTTCTGAAAGATAAAACGTTGGAAATTAAACCTTTGCGGCATGACTTTGCGTCTTCGTCCTCAATCAACAATCTTTGTATTACACAAGAAATTAATATTTCATTTGGCAAGCCTCACCAAATTAAAAAATCTTTGCAATTATCTGCAGACACAAGTTTCCACAATTTGGATAATTTTAAACTGAAACGGCGTTATGTACAAAATACACAAGAAAAATTAACTATAGAACTGGCTGTTTTCTTCGACGAAGCCGCATATCGTATCTTCATGCCTTTTCTGAACAACGATCAGCATATGTTGTATTTATTGATATTAGCGTATGTGAATAATATCCAAGCTGTGTTCCATCATCCTAGTTTGGGAGTTTCTATCGATATTTCGTTGGTATATTTAAAAATTATGTATAAACAACCGTCAAATTTGCCGGTTTACGGCGGCGACGGTCAGAAACTATTGCATTCGTTCTGCAATTACGTGGGAACTCTTAATCCTACAGACGACAATGATCCAGATCACTGGGACGTTGGTCTTTATCTAACCGGAATAAATCTTTGTTACACCGAGCAAGGCGTAGTCAAAAATATTACTCTAGGTATTTCTAACGGAAATAGTGCGTGCATATTATGTCAATCATGTGTGGTAGCAGAATTCGGTATTGCGGATGCTGTAACCTCGGGTTTTTCATCGTCTCTCACTGCTGCTCATGAGATCGGTCATGTGTAAGTTTTTATATAATGGTTTTTACTAGTTTTATATAATAGTTTTAGTGTAAATTAAGTATAAATATGTTTCAAAAAAATTTACTGAATTGTTTAGTTTAAAAGCAAAAAGGAAACAAACCCTTTTAAAAGATTTGTTCCTTTAATTATTCAGTATGTAAATTATTAATAAATTTTAATATAAAAATATTGACAATAATCATTGCTAAGTAAAGCAAAATTAATAAGTTCTTTGTTTTAAAGTTTAGGAATGCAACACGATTCCGATTATACAAAACCATGTGATACATACAAGTACATAATGTCATCTAAAAAATCCCGTCAAGGTCAAGTAACATGGTCCGAGTGCAGTCGTAATATAGCTGAAGAACTCTGGGAAACAAAAGAGTGCCTTCGAGATCGTACGAAAAATCTCGAAGACGCATATGACCATGCGCGGTATAAAAATTTACCCGGAAGACAATGGAGCGCCAAAGCACAATGTGAAATATATTTTCGCGACAAGGATGCGAACGTCGTCTCGTTGCTTGATATATGTCAAACTTTGCAATGTGAAACACCACACCGGAATGGGTATAACTTCATCGGATCAGCGTTGGAAGGTATATTATCTTACTGATCTGTTAAATATCTTACAGCTTAATTAATCTCATTTTTTTAGGCACTTATTGCGCACCCGGGAAAGAATGTCGCGGTGGAGAATGCGTGCCCAATCTGCAACCGCCTCTCGATTATTGTGAAGATGATAACTGGAGTGAATGGAAAGAAAGCCCCTGTCAAAGTAGTTGCTTGGAGAAATCTAAAGGCGTAAAAGTCAAACGACGTTCTTGCAAACATGGATTTCGCAGAACGGCGAGTTGTAAAGGACCATATTACAACGTGGTTCTGTGCGATGACTCGATACTTTGCACTAAAAATCGCACGACAACCTCCCAGTTAATTACCGATAAATGCATTAAAATCAACGACAATCTAAAGCATAAATTCAGTATTGAACTGGAAAGTGGGCCGGTAGTTCAGGTCCTTCATAATGTCGCGGAACCGTGGAAGGCCTGTACTATACACTGCCGTAAAAAAGATTCACCAACTCTTTACGCATTACGCTTCGAAATGATCGGCGTTAATATGGACCCATATCTTCCAGATGGAACATGGTGTCACAATAAAGATGGCCAAGATTATTACTGCCGCCAACATTATTGTATTCCGGAAAGCTACTCTTAAGAATAATTGTCGAAAGATTATCGTGTGTGAATGAGGGTCAAAAAAGGGGAAAAATATGAAACAATCGTAAATCAGTCTAGAATAGTTGAGCAATTTGTTCGGTAGTAAAATAATATTCAAAATGTGTAACAATAATGTTACATATTCTAATATCGATCATAATTCATATTTTTTTAAATTCCACCGTTATCGCAAATATTATATGTGAAATATACAAATCAGAACTGAAAGAAAAAGATATGTGTATAGGGTGTCCCAATAAAATGTATATTCATTTTACTCCCATATGTTTTTACAAATAAAATAGATAGACGTTAACTTGTTAAATGTATATATTTTATTAGGACACCCTGTATATGTTACAGAGGAGGTATATGGTATATACAATAAATGTCACACGACACGAATTTTATTCCCACCTAGACAGTTTGTATTCTATACGCGATCAGAAGATACAACGAACTTGAGAGTAGTATAACATATGTATGTATATAATAAGTAATTGGATATATGTATAAGATGACGTTACTTAAACATTTTTAAGTACCCAAAATTGAAAAACGAAAGAAACAATATTACTGCCGGCACTGAATTCGACAAGTGCGGAAGAAATATATGAGTTTTATTGTACTGCTTTATTCATTGCTCAACGTTTCAAATAAATATTATTCGAGAATGATTAAGTTTTTTATTTATTGTTATTCAATTTGCAGATACCACTAACTCTGAAAGTTTTTGGAACACAAATTCAGCTAAACCTGCGTAGACACAACCAGATTGTATCGTCCTTGTTTAAAGTATGGAAACATGACGCAAAACGCATCACCAGAAAACTATCGCAATCAAACGCATCGAGCCCTTATTATTATTTTCATAAAAATCATGTCAGCACTGCGGCTATGAACTTTTATCAGGAACTTGAATGGGTCAGTGGTACCATTCAAAAAACAAACGGTTCAAAAATTATTATATTTCTACTTTTAATTTTAATTTCTCTTTGTTTTATATATAAGCTTGGCACGCAAGAAAACAAATACATATTTTTTTAAACTAGGAGGAATTCGTTTTTCTAAAAGACGACATATTGGTAATTAGACCTTTGCGAGATGATTTTATGTCTTTCTCCTTAATCAACAATCTTTGCGTTAAAGAAGAAATTAATATGGCAAAATTCTAATTGTAATTTGCCATTAGAATTTTGAATTTGAAATACTTTGTGCATTGAATCTAAATATATATTTTGCTTTTATATTGGGAAAATGACAGAATGGTTTGATTATAGAGCTTGCATAATTTCCTCTCGCGCGATAGATCCTCCACATATCTCGCTGTCACCGCACGCTGGCATTCAATGCGCGATCAAAGAGGTATAATACAAACGATCGGAATTCATTGTTCATAATGCCTGCGAAAATTCTCACGTTCAACTGACCTTTCCCATTTTCTTAATCGATATCTGTGCTGGCGACAGTTTTATCAGAAAAGGAACTTGGCGTAGAAGAAGTTCTCACCCAGCAAACAGCTAACCAACACAGTAACATAACATCAATGTTATAATTTCCCACTCAGTAATATAATAAATAGTTACGTACAAGACATATTGCGGTAACGTTTATTGAGTGGGAAATTATAATATTGATATTATGTTATTGTTGGTTAATGTTTGCTGAGTGGACACGTGCGATTTTTGCGGACACTCTACGCAAATTGTATAAGTATGCGCTCGTATGTGCTCGTGTGTCAAGCTAGGGCATTGATATTGCGTTCATGAATGTTGACGTTAACTTCACGGTGAATGTGTATGATACAGCGAACGCTTGAATTAGTATCGCGATGGTCTATCAAACGTCGGCGCGGCCTTAATAGGAAATATTTGCTCATCGCGCGCATAATTGAATATTGATTAATTAAAGGGGCGACGAACGCTGCCCGATCGACCGACCACTTGTTTATTATGTACTTGAGCTCGATCAACTGCGGATTGAAATCGGATTGCCCTATATAACGCTGAAAAACTACCGGCCGTTCAGAATCCGTCCGGACGGATGGCGCAAAATTGACAATGACGACGCTTCAACGCGGTGAGTGTGACATTTCAATGAAATTCAATCACACAATCGTGAAAACAATAAGAACATATGTTCGCTGTGATGACATCGTTTATAAAAATAAATTTTTACGCGATAAATAAATAAAGATAAAATAAAACTTGATAGTGCAATATTATTTTATCGATAAAAGTGCGATATTATTTTATCGATAAACGTGAAAGTCTATCAATATAACATATTCGTAAAGTGAAAGTGTGTTAAAGAAACATTTCGACGTGCGGGAAAAAGTAGAAAGTTTATGGGACACCAAAAATCAAAATTTAATTATTCGAAAGCCAATACGTTTCGCTCAATCGTATCTCGTTTGCGTAATCGAGCCGACTGTATCAGCAAATATCAGCGAGTACCAAATCAATATCTAACGAGCCACCGGTAATCACCGGTGTGTGAACGAGCGACGTAACGATTATGCGTTTCACGTATCTTTGCTGGCAATTTATGTTTAATGCGCAGGTCTCAATTATTTACATCATAATGTGTTACGTACACATTGTGATGTTACTGCCGTTCATGCTGGGACAAACGCGGCGATTCAAATATAACTTTCAATTGATTTTTAAACAATGATTTAGAGATGAAGCATAGCAATTCTGATTATTTAACGAAGAGAAACTTTTCCATTTTAAGAGCGATTAAAAAGAAAAGTTGTGAGAAGTTTTAAAAGTTTTGTAAAAGTTTTATATATCACGAAGTGATAATAATTCAAGGACGCATGTGCGGTCTCTATTAGCATCTTTTATGCGTTCGCGCGTAGGCGGTTTCTTCATTTAGCAATTTACCTTTCCAATCGCTTGCTGGTGAAGAAATCGCGATCGAGGAAAGTATTTCTGTGTTCGGTGCACCGGGAAAATGTGCAAAAAATTCCGCGCTCTCTAAATAGCAGAGTTAAGAACACGTGAGAAAAAGAGAGCATGATGTTGAACTCTGCATCGGCAAAGTGCGATGTGTGTGTGTGCAAATCTCGCTATAAACGAAACCTACGCATTATCCTAGCTGACGTCACTATCCCGTAATACTCACCTGTCAAATATCGATTCACGCGGATTCGAGATTCTCGAGAAAATCGCTTTATATGGTCGGCGAGACACTTGTTTGGGAAATGTCTCTTTATTTCATATTTTTTAAGATCAGCGAGACTGCGATATGACAGCTGTAGAGACAGAAAGAGAGAGAAAGGAAGCGTAATTTTCCGACGTTAATTACTCCGACGACGATCGCGGTGAAAGTTTTTCCACCTCGACTCTCGCGTTTTACTTAAGTTTTACTCTATTGAATTTTCCACTCGGGAAATAAAATCTCCGAGAATCTTGAAATTGAAATAAGTTTTCCAATGTTATAATAATATAATCGTTATTTAAATGTCGCGTTTGCGTTTTGCCGAGTTGTATGCGACACAAAACATTATTCTCTCGACCGTGTTCTATTTAATGTCACACATGGAATGACGACACATTTTTCACGCGAGTCGCCGACTGAAAGGATCTTTTTTCGTCCTCATTGAGTAAAAATAGACTGTAGAATCGCCGGCCGTCAAAGCCGTCGGAAAAACTGTCCGGCTCGTGGCACAATTTTGCATGCAATTTTTAATGCGAGACGCGGCGAGAGAGGACCTGTGCTACTCATTGTTACGGAGAGAGAAGCTGCGGTGATGCACGTAGGTGGTTTGCACTGGAAAACACGCTCGTACACGTGCCGCAACGCGCATTATTATCTTTACGCGTGCCAACAAAAACTTCGATTCGCGGGAAATATGTAAAGCGCATAGTGAAACACGCAAGAATTAAGCTGCTTAAAACTTAGAAAGAAAGAAAAAAACGTTTCTTCTTTCGAGCAAAATTCAATTATAGAACGTTCGCCCACCTGGCTCATATACGTTGTCCTCATTTCTCTTGTAAATAGTGGGCTTGGCGCGCGCTGTGACAATCGCAGCGACGACGCAGAGGACAATCCAGAAGATCTTCATGTTCGATTCGACGATATACTGCACACAGTCCTGGAGCGAAATGCAAAAAGAAATTCTCCGCACAGTTTCGATACCTCGCGCGACGATACTCAATGCGGCACTACGCTCGATGCCCGCCCGCTGTGGACCGAGGCAGATGAAAACATTTCGCCGCGAGTGGGGAAACATGGGAATAAGGGAATTGGCGCAATCCGCGGAAGATATCGCGGTTGTGTGATAGTAAATGCGCCGTGTAAGTCGTGGCAGGCGGGTGGGTAGACGAGGAGAAGAATAAAAGAGAACGAAATTGAAAAGAAAAGAAAAGAAAAAAAAGAGAATGGTGCGGATAACACCGTTGCACCATCATCGCACAAACATCGCCTCCTTTCTAGCGTGCGAGAACGCGTGAAAGTCTGACTTTTGCCGGCAAAGGTGTTACTGCATCGCGCTGCCTGATCTGGATCGATCCTTATCTACTATGCGAACGAAGAAATTCGTTTCTTTTAGTTTCTCTCGCAGGAAAAACATTTCCCATTCTTTTCAGAATTTTCTAAAACGTTTAGAATCTTCTCTGATTTTTGCATCTTTTTTTTTTTAGATTTAACTTAGCTGTAGAATTTTTTTCAGGCGAATAAACAGAGAGATTACTTTGAACGAAGTTACGAGACGACACGCCCACGACTTATTTCGCTCGAAGGTGAACCGCGACAGAAGCAAGGTGCTCGTGAGCCAAGGAGCGTCAAGGATTTGTATTAATCATACTTTACATACGTCAGTCGCCGCGTGATATATGTATATAGAAGTCAATGCAGATATATATAGATAATAAGAAAAAGTACGGTGAATCAAATTTTTTTCACTAAAAATATGTTTATGCAATATTCTCTATAAATGTAGAGATATACATAATATAAGCACATAGAATATAGCTATATCTCTATATTTTAATACGATTTTATTGAGAACGGAAATTCAATTCAACGGAGTCAATTTATTTTTTATAGCGAGAAGAGTGCAGTCAGAAAAAAAAATAAAAAGGAAGAATTAGTGCTAATTGCACATAATTTAGTGGTCGACGTGGCAAGAACACAATCCAGTGGCCTGACAATGGAAACTGGGTTAAAA